ACCGCCTTCCTGTGTGGCCGCAGTTTGCCACTGTCGCCGCTCTGATGCATCAGGTTGTTTGGGGCAAGACACTTAACTGAATCTCCTCTGAGATGCCAAGACCTGATGTCTTTCATTGCCCCTTGGCTATTTCAGCTCTTCCAGCACCTTCCCAACTAGTTCCCCTAATTGAATTCTTACCATTGAATTCTTTAATCTGCGCTTTCTTTTTCTTTTTCTTTTTTTTCTTTTTTTTGATATGGAGTCTTTGTTGCCCAGGCCGGAGGGCAGTGGCACGATCTCTACTCACTGCAAGCTCCACCTCCCAGCTTCACACCATTCTCCTGCTCAGCCTCCCAAGTAGCTGGGACTGCAGGCACCCACCACCACGCCCGGCTAATTTCTTGTATTTTCAGTAGAGATGGGGTTTCACCGTGTTAGCCAGGATGGTCTCGATCTCCTGACCTCATGATCCACCCGCCTCGGCCTCCCAAAGTGCTGGGACGACAGGCATGAGCCACCGCGCCTGGCCTGGGCTTTATTTTTCTGAGTAGACCGTTATGGCTACACCAGTAGAAGAGATGTTTCTCCTTGTTTGTTTCTTTTGTTTGTTTCATATTCCTATTATTCCCTTGTGAGTACTGGTTTAAACAGCAACAGAGGATAGTGCCAAACCTTCCCACTAGCTGAAGAATTAGAGCAGGTGGCTCTTTCCCGCAAACAAGAGCTGCCAAAAAACATGTCTTCACTTCAGAAAAATCCTTCAGCAGACTGATATACACCATGAGGCCATAATCATGATTAGCTTTTCTTTTTAAATTCTGAATGGGTACGACATCAGCTCTGAAACACAAAGGAGTGTCTAACAGACATCAATCATTTGGCCTCATCAGAACGAGAAATAGAACAAATCAAAACAGCAACTTGGAATGTTTTTAATTTTCTTGGACTCTACTACATCTCCCACATGGCATTATTTCTCAGGGAGTTGCTTTTATTTTCATTTGGTGCAACCCTTTATTTTCCTACAGAAACGTTCATACCTGTGAAAGAGCCATCGTAGTAGAAACCACCAATGATGCCCACAGAACAGCTGTGGCCAAGGAATACTGAGATTATCTTCTCTGTCAGTCCCTGCAGGCATGATGGAGATGCTCTCTTTTAGGTCCACTGGGTTAATTTGGCTCCCTGAAGACCTTGACAAAATGCCTTCTGTGGTGGCGTTTTTGTTCCAGGAAAGCATTTTGTTAATTTTGTGCTATAAAATACATCTTGGGGTGCATGGGAAGTAAATGGTGATCAATGAAGGGGCTATAAAATCTTCCTAAAAAATGGTGAAGGAAACTTTCTAAGGCTGGATCTCAGTGGCAATAAAATAAGGGCATACAAAAGGACCTCAGTTTTTTAAATTTGTTTTTAATCTATTTAGAGACAGGGTCTCATTCTGTCCCCCAGGCTGGAGTGCAGTAGTGTGATCATAGCTCACTGCAACCCTGAACTCCTGGGCTCAAGTGATCTTCCCACCTCAGCCTCCCAAGTAGCTGTGGCTATGAGAGTGTGCCACCACATCTGGCCATCTGGCTATTTTGTTGTTTTTGTTTCATAGAGATGGAGTCTCGCTATGCTGCTCAGGCTGTTCTTGAACTCCTGACCTCAAGTGATCCTCTCACCTTCAGCCTCCCAAAGTGCTGGAATTACAGGAGTGAGCCACCATTCCCAGCCTAATTTTAAAATTATTAATGTTGTGCAGACATCTAAAGATAGCCCAGAATGGGTAATTTGATTCATTAATTAATTGACCATTCATTCATTCATTCAGCAATGTTTACCCAGTGCCTGTTATATTTGAAGTCTGACTCTAGATGATGGGAATATATAGTGGAAAATAAGAAAGTCGGGGATTTCGTTCTCACAGATCTTAAACTTGAATAAAAGAAAATACAGTTAATTAGTAAACAAGAAAATGACGGTGAGTGATAAAGGCTCTAATAAAATTAAAAGAGGCAGTGTGATAGAGATAGCTTGGGTGATTGCCTGGAAATCATCCTGGTTCCTCCCTTTCTCTTTGGGCAGGTGATATGGTTTGGCTTCGTGTCCCCACCCAAATCTCATCTTAAATTGCAATCCCCAGGTGTTCAGGGAGGAACCTGGTAGGAGGTGATTGGATCATAGAAGGAGTTTCCCCCATGCTATTCTCATGATAGTGAGTGAGTTCTCACAAGATCTGATGGTTTTATAAGTGCTTGGCAAGCTCCTCCTTTGCTCACTCTCCCCTTGCCTGCTACCATGTAAGACATGCCTGCTTCCCCTTCTGCCAGGATTGTAAGTTTCCTGAGGCCTCCCAAGCCATGTGGAACTTTTGAGTCAATTAAACCTCTTTCCTTTATAAATTTCCCAGTCTTGGGTAGCATTCTTTATAGCAGTGTGAAAACAGACTAATACAGCAGGGCAAACCTCTCCAAGGATACGTCACTTGGGCTGTGGCTGAATCACAAGGGAGGGACAGCTTTGCAAAAGACCTGGGGAAAGAACATTTCAGGCAGAGAAACATGAAGCATAAATTCTGAAAACTGGGAATAAACTCAGGGAGTTGGAGAACCACAAGCAGCCTGCATGTCTGAGTGTACTGAGTTGTGGAATACGAAATCAGATTAAGTCAGAGGTCAGCAGGCCAGGAAACGTAGGGTCTTGTTGGAGTTTCAATTTTATTTTGTCATCAGTGGGAACTTTTTGGAGGATTTTTAAAGTATGGAAGAGAAATTATATAATCTAAGTGTGTAGAATAGACTTCAGAGAGGAAAGAATGAAACCAAGGAGACCAAAGAATTGTCCAGTGAGAGATGGTCCCTGAACTGGTGATGGTGGCACTGGCAATGGAGGCATGTGGACAAATGCAAGGGGCATTTTGGGAGTAGCATTCACAAGACTTAGCAATGAACTGGGTGATGGGATGTGGTGGGCAGATATTAGGATGACCTCTGTTTATCCTCACCTCCTGATATTCATGCCCTTGTGAAGTCTCCTGTTTTTGAATATGGGGTGAGCCTATGACTTGTTTCTAACCAACAGAATATAGAAACAGCGATTGCATGGCACTTCTGTGAATGAAGTACATAAGATCTAAATGTCTGTTTTGATAGCAGACTGTTTATTAGCTGTCACCCTTGCTGGCATTGATGAAGCAAGTTTCTGTGTGGAGAGGCCCTTATGGCAATGAATGATGTCTGGCCAATAGCCAGTAAGGGCCTCAGGCCTTCAGTCCAGTAACCCACAAAGAACTGAATCTTGCCAATAACTATGAGGAATTAGATAATTCCCCACTTGAGGCTCAGATGAGACTGCAGCCTGGGCAACACCTTGATTGCAGCCTTGTGAGAGACCCTGAAGCAGAGGAAGCTGTGCCTATATTCTTGCCCACAGAAACTAAGATCAGAAGTATGCTTCAAGCCACCACATTTCTAGTAATATTGCTACACAGCAGCAGATAATGATTATATGGAATAAGCAGGAATGGGGAGTCAAGAATGACTTCTTGAACAACTGGATAGAAGGTAGAATAATTTACTGAAATGAGGAGGCTTGGGGAAGAACAGGTTCAGGGAGAAATCAAGAGTAGAGGTTTCAAATAAGTGGTTGGATATGCACATAAGGAGCATAGTAGAGAAAGGTGGTTGTCAGTAGCCTATCACTGGCATTTCCTTTATCCACATGTGTAAAATCAATAGAGTCATTACCAGATCTCCCCTGTTTAAGAGTGCTGTGTAGGCTGGCCTAGGACGTGGGTTCTTCTTTTCTGCTCCACCCCACTTTGCTGGACTTTATTCCCCTACACAATGGTTTGCTACCTCTGCTATCATCACATTCTCATTCTGCCTGTCTCCCTTTGCCCTTCATATCTTGTCCTAGGTTCAGCTTTCGTAGCATCTTTTACCAAGATTTATTCCAGACAGAAAATCCTTTCAGATCTTTGTATTCTCTCCTCATTTCCCAGCCTGATCAAAACATGCCTTTCGATGCTCATTCACCAAGGATTCTGCTACCAAATAGCAAATATATGCTGAGAGGTGGTGCTGTGTAAGGAATATGGATTTGGAGAAAGGTTGGAATTTGAACTGAAAATCTACTACTTATGGGCTGAGAAAGACACATAACGTCTTCATTTTCTCATCCGTAAAATAATGATAGCAATTATAGCAATGTCTACCTCCTAATGCTGTTTAAACATAAAATCACTGGAGTTACAAAATGCCCAGTACAGTCCTTGGTACATAGCAGGTATGGTAAATCATACCTATTATAATCAAACTGATTTTTTCTAAAGTGAAAAAAATTCTATCTGGCTAACATATTACCTTATAGCTCTTATATTCCCAAATTTAAAATAACCACATTCGATTTCTTTCAATGCTCTAGTCTATTTTTATCAGTATTTAAATGTGTTCCAGACACATCTGTCTTTAAAAAGAATTTTTTTTCAATCATTCCACTTTCCTCACTAGACAGCTTCATTCTCTCTCCCCTCGCCTTCAGAATCATGCATTCTGAGCCTTGTCTGCACTCTGTCCTCATTGCCTCGTGGCTACTTCTTGCATTCTGTACAAAGAGTTTTGCACCTACTGTTCCACATTTTTTTTTTTTTTTTTTTTTTTTTGAGACGGAGTCTCGCTCTGTCACCAGGCTAGAGTGCAGTGGTGCAATCTCGGCTTACTGTAACCTCCACCTCCGGGATCCAAGCAATCCTCCTGCCTCAGCCTCCTGAGTAGCTGGGACTCCAGGCGCCTGCCACCATGCCCAGCAAATTTTTTGTATTTTTAGTACAGACGGGATTTCACCATGTTGGCCAGGATGGTCTCAATCTCTTGACCTCGTGATCTGCCTGCCTCGGCCTCCCAAAGTGCTGGGACTGCAGGCGTGAGCCACCGCACCCGGCCTACTGTGCCACTTTTAAGGTTGTACTTCCAATGTCACCAAAGGCATTGTTGTTACTAAACCCAGTGGCTACTTTTCAGTCCTTATCTTACCTGAGCTCTTTGCAGCAATTAATTGTATAGACTATGCTTCATTGCTGGAACGTTCTCTTCCATCTGTGTTTCCCACAGGTGATCTTCACTCCTGTGGCTTCAATGACTATCCATGGACTTATGTTTTCAGTCTGACTCTCTCCTGGACTCCTGAGCTGCAAACCCAGCTCTCTTTTGGATCTCCCAAGCTCTTGTTACTCAATCAAATTTACTACTTTCCCATGAAACTGCTTCTTCCTCATTCCATCTGTATGAATGGCACTACGGAGACTCAGCTTCCTAAGCCAGAGACCCTACCACACATATCCCCACCACCCACTCCTTTTCCACTTCAAAGCCCTGTTGATTGTTGAGTTGCTGTGTTCCATAGATTCTGCTTCCACAGCAACTGTGGAATCTGATTACTGACCTCCACCCTCCTGGGGTGATACGGTTTGGCTGTGTCCTCACCCAAATCTCATCTTGAATTGTAACTCCCACAATTCCCACGTGTTGTAGGAGGAACCTGGTGGGAAGTAATTGAATCATGGGGACGGTTTTTTCCCGTGATGTTCTCCTGATAGTGCCTAAGTCTCACGAGATCTGATAGTTTTAAAAACGGGAATTTCCCTGCACAAGCTCATTCTCTTTCGCTGTAGCCAGGTTAGAAGTGCCTTTCACCTTCCACCAGGACTGTGAGGCCTCCCCAGCCACATGCAACTGTGAGTCCACTAAACCTATTTTTCTTCCCAGTCTTGGGTATGTCTTTATCAGCAGCGTGAAAACGGACTAATACATGGGGCCACCTCATCACTGACTGGATCACTGTACCTACCCATTCCCTGGTCATCTTGCTTTCAGGGTTGCACCTTTCCAGTCAGTTCTCTGCATTTAAGTGATCCTATTAAAACACAAGTCCACTCACATACCGCCCTGCTTTCAGCCTTTTCAGTGCTCCCATCACCCTATGTCTGATATTCAATCTCCTTAGCATGGCATTTGGCGCCCCCATCATGGGGCTACTTTGTGACCGCTCAGCATTTTATTCAGATCTTTCCTTACGCCCATATGCCCTATTTCAGCCACACTCAACTATTTGCAGTGACCCCATATTTCACACTCTTTTGTGACCCTTCCTTCTCCCCTCCCGTCTCCTCTTCTTTCCTTTTTTTTTTGGCGGAGTCTCACTCGGTCCCCCAGGTTGGAGTGCAGTGGCCTGATCTCAGCTCACTGCAACCTCCACCCCCCGGATTCAAGCGATTATCCTGCCTCAGCCTCCGAGTAGCTGGGATTATAGGCGCCTGCCACCGCGCCCAGCTAATTTATATATTTTTAGTAGAGCCGAGGTTTCACCATCTTGGCCAGGCTGGTCTTGAATTCCTGGCCTCGTGATCCACCTGCCTCGGCCTCCCAAAGTGCTGGGATTGTAGGTGTGAGCCACCGGGCCCGGCCGACACTTGCTTTCTTGTAAGTTATTTTCCCTGCCCAGTCTCTTCCCCGTTGGCCTCATAATGTCTCTGGTCCTTCTGAACTCAGCACAGATGCTGTCTTCTCTGGGACTCTGCTGAGCCTATGCAGCTCTTCCTGTGCACCCTCGCAGCCTCTCAGTAGAACTATATCTACGTTAGAGTTGACTCCTCCCTCATCTGCCTCTCCCACTAGCGTTTCCTGTTTCTTGAAGGAAGGTGCTGCATCTTTCTTCACAATTGTATTTCCAGCCTGGTGCCTGGAGGCACTCTGGAAATAGTTCCTCAATGAATACACACTCAGTGTGGTACCTTTTCAGTTCCTGGAATATTTCAGGCCTCTCACTTCAGAACTTCTGCCCTTGATTTTTCCCTATGTCAGCCAAGTTTTCCCCTGTCTTTTTGTATAATTGGCCCCTTCTAATTCTTCAGGATTCAGCTGAAATTTCACTGTGCTGGAGAAGTTTACTAACCACACTATCTGCTGACCTCCTTCACAACACTAAGCACTGGTTCTTATTACCTTCTATTTGTTTACTTGTTAATTGTATGACACCTCCCAATCCTCTTGCTAAAATATAACCTACATGAGAATCAAAACAGTATCTGTTTTATTATTCACTGTATCCACAACAGCTAGAAGATGGCTGACATATGATACTTGTTTAAAAATCCTTGATGAATAGATTAATGAAAGCAATTGATGTTAACTATCGAAGGGAACTGTTCCTGAGGAGGAATGGGAGAGGTTCGAGTATATTCATAAAGCAAGGGGAAACCTTGAAAGTGGGCAGGTGAAAATTGTTAGGGCTGGGTGTGGTAGCTCACGCCTGTAATCCCCAGCACTTTGGGAGGTCGAGGCAGGCGGATCACAAAGTCAGAAGTTCGAGACCAGCCTGGCCAATATGGTGAAACCCCGTCTCTACTAAAAATACAAAGATTAGCAGGACGTGGTGGCACGCGCCTATAATCCCAGCTACTTAGGAGGCTGAGGCAGGATGATTGCTTGAACTCGGGAGGCAGAGGTTGCAGTGAGCCGAGATTGTGCCGCTGCACTCCAGCCTGGGTGACACAGCAAGACACTGTCTCAAAAAAAAAAAAAAAAAAAAAAAAGAGAAAGAAAATGTAAGTTAGCTGGAGATTCTCAAGAACACAAAAGGTCACGAAGATAGGGCTATGTGTTGACAACTGGATCTGAAAAGTGAAAACAAAACCAAAAGCTAGGGCTCTTCTCATTTGGAAACTGGACCAAAGAAGGCAAGGTCAGTGTAGCAGAGACTGTTTTTGCTCCATCCAGCTCTCGTTGGTCACCCCAGGACTTGCATAAGGGGTCCCTGAGCATGGTAGTCACAGTGGCAAAGATGGATGTGACAGATACATAGGCCAAGAGCATGGGCTCGCATTCGCCAGATCTGCCTAGATGCTCTCAGTGCCAAAAATGAGAGCCCTGCAGCAAGCCCTAGGTACGGCAGCAAGCCCTAGCACCATCTCTTAAGGAGACAAAGCATTAGTGCTAAATTAATTCCATGGGACACCTTCCACCCTGAAGTGAGCAGTAATTTGTCTTTATTCTGATACATATTCTGGGTATGGGGTCACCATCCCTGCCTGCACTGCTTCACTCAATATCATTAACTGAAGGTTTAAAGAGTCATTTTCCAACATGGGATCTCATATTAAATCACCATGAACCGCGGGATCCACTTTACATGTGTTAGAAATGCTTGTTCCCCGGTGCCATAAAGAAATAGCACTTGAACATAAATTTAATTTCCTCAGCAAGGCCATTTTTACTTTACTTTCTGGTACACTTGCCAGCAGTTTTGCCACGAGAGGACACGGAACAAAGGAGACAGGGTCATTTATAACCTGACGCGTCCACCTTACTGCTGTGTCTGGTTTCCATTCCATTCCATTCCATTCCACTGGAACGGGACCTCACACTCTGTATTTGTCCCGACTGGCTGGCAACTTAGAACTTTTTATAGGAGGCAAAGGCAGAGGAGAACAAAGGAAGGAGGAAGTAACTTGTGGAATGCTGAGAAAGGTAAAAACACCTCCAAATAAGGAAGAGGAACAGGCTATGACCTAATGCTTGCTTGGACCAGTATAAGCCTCCAGGGCAAATATTTAGGCTAAATTGTGGGAGCTAAGAACGTAAAGTACATTGATTTCTTTATCACGGCTAGCAGATATCTAAGAATGTTAGCACAGGTCTTTGAATAGATTTTGCTTCTAAGAGAAGTTACTATTTATTCCTAATTAGTTGGGGAGGAAAGTCTTTGAAGAGGAATCTCTACTTTACTTCTTACTCATGGAATGAGGTTTGACGATGGGCATGTTGCCGTGAGATCCACCGGTTCTATCAAAAGCTGTATTACCCCGAGAGGTTGTCAGCCTGACAGGATATTGGAATGGTCCCTGAGAGGCTCAGCAAAGATGCCAGTGATGTGCCTTCCCATGTGGTTGGGGCAAGATGTGGTATACATTGAACCAAGAGCAATTATAGGATGCTGTGTCCCCAGTAGCAATAATAGACAATCCAGAAATCAAGGAGTAGAAGTAATCTCATCTCTACTTCCAGAACTTACTTGGAGTTTTTGTGCATCCATTTCCAAAATTTTAAGGTCTATTGTATTAGAAGATGTGGCCTTCAGGGATGGAATGCTTCCACCGGGAGAAGCAGCAATGGTTCCACTGAATCTAAAGCTACACTGTAGCCCGGTTAATTTGAGCCTCCATGCTGACAGACCAGCAGCAGAGAAAGCATTTACTCTACTGGCATAAGTCACTGATGTTGGTTATGAAAATCCAGAGAGGCTGATGCATAAAGGCCCAGGGATGACTGTACTTGGAACTCAAGAGATAGATTCTCTGGGGACTTCTGGTTGTTTCCATGGCTGCTGATGACAATGAAAGAACAATTGTACCAATCAGGCCTGACAACAGGGCGAAGTCTTTAGAAGCTCAGACCCTTCAGGGATCAAAGTCTGGGTCCCACCTGACACGCCAACTAAGATCAGCAAAAAAGTCAGCAAAAGTGAGAAGAATCAAACACAGGTGGAGAAGAGGGAGTCAACGAGTATTAATTATGGCCTCAGATCCAACTGCAGCATCAGGATATTGGCCCATCCCACTAACCTCCCTGTTGTAAGTCTTCTTGGGTTTGCAAGTGGCCACCAAATTGCAGACTCAGTGACAGAACAGAATGGAATTATTCTGGGGCACAAGTGGATCAAAAGGCTGCATGGTGAACTCCAACAAAGTCCAGGGCCCTCACCATGTTTCTTCCTGTCTGATGGTTTTTTGCCTCTCTCTGCCTGAGAACATATTCTGGCTGCAGAGTATGCTCCACTTGCATACAGGGGAGGCCTGCAGTGATGGAGAATTAATGTCCCCAGGAATGACCTTCGACCAGTGAGAAATGGGAACTAGGGATCAATACCCCAACTATCTCTGCTCAGTGGGGGGATTTGGAAGCATGGTCCACACAGTCTCCTACAGGATTGCCTACTAGCCCACAGCACAGCAGTCTCTCATGCTCCCTTTGCTCTCTTTCTTTTCTTCTCACCCTTGCTTCTCCAGGCCGTCACAGTGACTCTTGGTGTCACCTCCCATAGAAAACTTGCACTCAAAGCCTTGTCTTGGAATTAGCTTCCGGGCAAGCCCAAATTTTATTCATTTCCTGGGGCAACTGTAATAAATTACACAACCTGGGTGGTTTGAAACAATAGAAATAGGTTATTTCACAGTTTTGGAGAGTTTGCAGTCAGTCTGGGCTGAAAGCAAAATGTTGGCAGAGCCACGCTCCCTCCAGAGACTCTAGGGAGATTCTGCTCCTTGCCTCTTCCAGCTAGCGTGGTAGTTACAGTGGCAAAGATGGATGCAATAGGTACGTGGGCCAACAGCATGGTTCCAATTCACCAGATCTTCCTGGATGCTGTCAGTGCCGAAAATGAGAGACCTGCAGCAAGCCCTAGTATGGCACCACCTTTTAAGGAGACAAACCATTAGTACTAAATTAGCACTGTAGCCACTAATGGAGTTACTGCAGTGTTGGCTGCTGGCATTTCATTCCAGTCTTTGCCTTCATCACATGGTTCTCTTCTCTGTGTCTGTGTGTCAAATCTCCCTCTACCTTATAAGGAAACATGTGAGGACATGCAGGGCCCACTGTGATAATACTGGATGATCTCCTTATCTTAAAATCCTTAATTTAACCATATTTGCAAAGACTCTTTTGTTCAAATAAGGTAACATTTACAGGTCCTGGGGATTAGACTTGTTCTCTGGAGGGCTGTGGCGGGTTGGGGGACGGAGGTATTATTCTGCCCAGCACACAAACTAAGACAGATGGACATAAATGTAGATATAAAAGTTATACACGGGGTAGCATGGCAGTAGTGAGTTTATGTCAGTTGTAGCGGTAGATATATTGGTGCCAGACTGCATAGACCTTGAATGTCAGACCAAAAAGACTGCCTTATACTCTTTAGATATTACAAAGTAGAGTATATCACAGCAAGCATTATCTTCCTAAATTTATACTTGAGAAAATAGGTTGAGAGAGGTCAAGCAACTTAAAGTTTATGAAATTCACATGTGGTGGGTTGGAATCCAAAGCAAGGTCTATTTGGTTCATAAGCAATGCTTTTTTCCACTTTACCACACTGCCTACTTAAGTGGGTTAGAAGGGGATGAACACTTATTAAAATGCTCTCTTATTAACATAATTCTGGCTGTGGAAAACAGGAAGGATTCAAAGAGAGAGAAACTAGAGGCAGGAAACGTATCCTGAAGTGGCCCCTTGCTGGGAAAGACCTGCACTTGCCTGGGGCCCCTGTGAAGTTCTTGGTCTGGATGACATGCACATGCAATGTGCTATGGTCATTAGGAACTATTCTTTCATGCAGTCTGCTATGGTCATTATGAACTATTCTTCTGCAGTTTTTTTTTTTTTTTTTTCTTTGAGACAGAGTCTTGCTCTGTCAGTCAGGCTGGAGTGCAGTGGCATGATCTCAGCTCACTGCAACCTCTGCCCTCCTGGGCTCAGGCAATTTTCCTGCCTCAGCCTCCGAGTAGCTGGGATTATAGGCCTTTGCCACCACGCCCAGCTAATTTTTGTATTTTTAGTAGAGATGGGGTTTCGCCATGTTGGCCAGGCTGGTCTCAAATGCCTGACCTCAGGTGATCTGCCTGCCTCAGTCTCCCAAAGTGCTGGGATTACAGGCATGAGCCACTGCACCCAGCCCCATCTTCAGATTTTATTGCAAGAAGTTAATTTGCAGAAAGAAATGAAAACACCACTAGAAGCAGCTCCAAAATTTTCTGTTAACATTAGCTTTTAACTGTCAGATACAGTAAGTTCCTTTCCAAAGTTTTAATTTCTGACTTCCTTGTTCTTTGTTCTTGGGATCAACTTCTCTGTCCCTTCTCCTAAGCTACCTGCTCTGTAAACAACTTCTCCTGCCAGTCCCACTCTGTAACTCACATCTCTTCCTTATTTGGAAAGAGTCCTCTTTACTCCTGGCTACCCATTCTGTAAACTGTCCCTCCCCCGAAGCTACCCCTCCCGCCAAAACTACCCTACCCCCTTTGCCGCACCCTGACATGCCCAAACGTGCCTTGTACCATAACAGACAGCCACTGCCTTCCTGCCTAATTAGCCATATTCAATTTTAAAAAGTAGCCAGTTGGATCAGTTTAGCCTGTGTGGTCCTACTCCAGCCAGTGGGGATAGGACACAGAAGCAGAGACTAACCACATTGGGGATAAAAGCCCCTTCCCTCCTTTGTTCAGTGTGCTCTCACAGTGGCTGGAAGTGCAAGCAGCATCCTTCTGTAGAAGTAAATTTGCCTTGCTGAGAAATCCTTCATTTGAGTGCTCGTTTTCCTTGGAACTGTGAGCTCTTGTTTCTAACATAACTCTGGCTGTTTAATGTGCCTGTCACTCATTCACATTTTGTAAATAAGTGGGGATTTATATTGAGATTTACATTCATATGCAGAAAATACTATTTTTTCCTCTGCAGGTGATTACTTCAGCAAGAGCCAAACTATTTTTTGTTTGAAAGAGAAAGTATATGTGTGTGAGAGTATATATGAGAATATTACATGCATTTGAGATTACAGTTTGCATAATGATGTTTCAATCAACAATGAGTCACATATACAATGATGGTCTTGTGGGATTATAATGGAGCTGAAAAATTCTTATCACCTAGAGATGTCATAGCCATTGTTACGTTGTAGCACATGTTACTCATGTGTTTGTGATGATGCTGGTGTAAACAAACCTACTGTGCTGCCATCATAAAAAATTCTAGCTCATATCATTATTTATTATACATAATAGTTAATAATGATAGTAAACAACTATGTTACTGGTTTATGTATTTACTAGGCTATACTTTTCATTGTTATTTTAGAATGTACTTCTACTTATATAAAAAAGTTGACTGTAAACATTACTTAACTGTTAACTGTTTACTGTTAACTGTAACTGTAACTTAACTGTTAACGGTAAAAACCTCAGGCAGGTCCTTCAGGAGGAATCCAGAAGAAGGCATTGTTATCACCGGAGATGACAGCTCCATGTGTGTTATTGTCCCCGAAGACCTTCCAGTGGGACAAGATGTGGAGGTGAAAGACAGTGATATTAATGATCCTGACCCTGGGTAAGCCCAGGCTAATGTGTGTGTTTGTGTCTTCGTTTTTAACAAAAAAGTTTAAAAATTAAAAAAAATTAAAAATGTTTAAAATAGAAAAAAGCTTATATAATAAGGATATAAAGAAAGAAAATGTTTTTGAACATCTGTACAATGTGTGTTTTAAGCTGTCTTTTTAGAAAAGAGTCAAAAGTTAAAAAAATTAAAAAGTTTGTAAAGTAAAACAGTTACCGCAAACTAAGGTTAATTCATTATTGAAGAAGGAAAATGTTTAAGTAAATGTAGTGCAGCCTAAGAATACAGTGTTGATAAAGTCTACTAGAGTGTACAGCAATGTCCTATACCTTCACATTCACTCACTGATTCACTCAGAGCAAACGTCCAGTCCTATAAGCTCCATTCATGGTAAGTGCCCTCCAAAGAAGTATCTTTTTTTTTTTTTTTTATCGTTAATGCTGTATTATTACTGCACCTTTTCTATGTTTATAAATGTTTAGATACACAAACACTTACCATTGTGCTACAATTGCTTACAGTACAGTTCAGAACATGCCATACAGATTTGTAGCCCAGAGCAATAGTGGGTGCCATGTAGCCTAGGTGTGTAGTAGGCTAGACCATCTAGGTTTGTGTAAGTACATTCTGATGTTCGCACAAAGATGGAAATGCCTAACGACACATTTTCTGTCATTAAGCCCACACGAATGACTATGTGAGTGAAAGTACCTATGTGTGTTTGTATGTGTAAATATATATATACACACACACACAATAGTATGTATATATAATATGTATATATAATTTGTTTATGTATACTAGTTTATATATAATGTGTATACTTTTTTTACTTAATGACAAAACATTAGCACAGAAATATCCCTCTTGGTCAGAGTCAGACTCCTAGTAAACATTCATCTACTTAAATAAAACCTCAGGGTCTAGAAGTACGCAAAAAGCCTCCACGTGCCTGAAATAGTTTACAGAAAGACACTTCACCAAGCCACATTCTTCTTCTTTTAGCCCCCAGTGTTAGTGGCAATTATCTACAGTATGTACTTTTATAATATGCTTAGCCCTGTGGTTTCCTGTTCCACAGAAAATTAGAAGTAGAAAGTTCAGCAAGAACACAGGGGAGCATTAGCAGTCATAAATGAAGAGCACAGGAGCTGCTGGATGTGGCCAGGTAAACTCAAGGACCAAGTTCACTCCATCACCACCCAGAGAGGGAAACATATTGTGACAATGATCCTGTGTAAATATGTGGTTAATGATGTTGAGAATCCTCTATTTAAGAAGCCAGAAAAGTGAATAACATATTTGAAATGCTGTTGACATCATAATGGTTAAGTTGTTTAAAGCTTTATTTTTGAATAGATGAGCTTTAGTTAGAAAATTGGCTGGTGGAAAAGAACTTATTTCTTAAAACAAATAGGAGATTGCTACAGATAATGTTTCTCATCTAAAAGTAGGTAAGCCAGAGCACACAGGTCTGCCACCTGTACTTCCATTCACCCTGAATCCTTTCCAGTGACAGGAAAAGGACATCTTTTAAGACTACATTCGTGACAGCACAGGAAGAATAGAGGTGACATTGAGAGATCCTGAAATTAAAATGAATTAGGAAGATAGAAAGCAGATGGGATTAAATTGACAAAAACTGAAAAAAACCACAGCCCAACATGTGCACAGAAGAAAGAACCCACTAGGAAGACAAGAGCAGTTGCAGAGAAACTCCAAGCTGAGTATTAACAATTACAGAGAGCAGAAGGAGGCCCTCTGGCAATGATCAGGGTAATTAAAGAGCCGCCTGCAGAACGCGGGGCTCCGCTGCCAGTGACTCCCTCCTCGGCTGAAGAGGAAACCCACGCTGTCCTCCTATGTGGTATTAACTCATCCAGTTCTTCATCCTTAGGCATAAATGGACATGCTTAAGGGAGGAAACCATTAAATTAAAAAGGAAGTAAGAGAAAGAGGCAGAACATCGACCCTAGAGAAAACAGAAAATCCACAATAGAGAAATGAACTGCCAAGCTTTCTATTTAATATCTTCCAGGGGATTCAAGATGACGTTGCCCCCTAAAACAAGAAGAGGCTTCTATGGAAAAGAAACAGAGGACAAGCCACAGTTCTTAGTATTATGGAATTACAAACATAGAGTACTTACTGGAAGGAATGAATAGAAGAACAGGCACAATAAAGGACGAATTAGCGATCTAAAACAGAGGTCAGAACATGTTTTTTTCTGTGAAAAGCCAGATTTTAAATATTTTTGGTTTTCCAGGTTACGTTGTCGCTGTCACAGCTCCTCAATCTGCCAGGGTGGTAGGCAAGTAGTCACTGACAAATACAAACAAGAAAGAGTTGATTTACCGAATAATATACAGACAAGAAAGGGTTTATTTACAAAATTCACGTTTATTTACAAAACTAGGTGGTGGACTGGATTCGGCCCACGGCCTGTAGTTTAGTGACTTGTGTGACCTAAAAGATGAAGTTAAGGAAATATTCCAAAACATGGAGAAAAAGATAAAAAGACGGGAAAGAGTTAAACAGGAAAACTTGTTTCAAGAGTTCCAACACATCTACCACGGTTTCAGAAACAGAAAAAAATTAAGTGGAGAAAATTATACAGAAAAATAAAAATGTATCATAGCTGAAGAGAAACATAGATTTTCTTTTTTTTTTTTTTACATAAACAGAGCCACCCAAGTGTATTGTAAGAGAAATAATAATCCCTAAGCAATATAAATGGATAAGATGCATCTAGAATGTATCTTTTTTTTTTTTTTTTTTTTTTTTGAGACATTCTCGTTTTGTCGTCCAGGCCGGAGTGCAGTGGTGCCTTCTCACAGCGTTCTCCCACCTCATCCTCCCGAATAACTGGGAACACACGTGTATGTCACCACGCATGGCTAATCTTTGTACTTTTTGTAGAGACAGTCTCACTGTGTTATCCGTGCTGGTCTCATACTTCTAGGCTCACACAATCTTCCCATCATGGCCTCCCAAACTACTGGAATTACAGGCATGAGCCACCACACCCAGGCTAGAACGTATCCTTATGAAGTCTTAGAGCTGTAGAGTATACAGAGATTTCGAAAAACTCCTAGAGGAAAAACAGATTACTTATATAGAAATTAGAATTCTGTTGTCATCGAAATTCTTATTGGCAAAACTGTAGGTTAAAAAAAAATCTGGGCCAGGTGCAGTGGCTCACACCTGTAATCCCAGCACTTTGGGAGGCTGAGGTGGGCGGATCACAAGGTCAAGAGGTCGAGACCAGCCTGGCCAATGTGGTGAAACCCTGTCTCTACTAAAAATACAAAAATTAGCTGGGCACGGTGGTGGGCACCTGTAATCCCAGCTGCTTGGGAGGCTGAGGCAGGAGAATCGCTTGAATCCAGGAGGCAGAGGCTGCAGTGAGCCAAGATCGTGCCACTGTACTCCAGTCTGACGACAGAGCAAGATTCCCTCTTAAAAAAAAAAAAAAAAACCAGTCAGGCATGGTGGCTCATGCCTGTAATTCCAGCACGTTCGAGGCTGAGATGGGAGGATCGCTTGAGCTCAGTAGGTTGAGGCGGCAGTGAGATGTGATTGCATCACTGCACTCCAGCCTGGGCAACAGATTTGGACCCCATCTCAAAAGAAACAAATTCTGAGATGTTCTGGGGAAAAATTATTTTTAAACCAATTGTTTCATACCCAACCAAAGAGCACTCAAATGGTAGGGCAATGATATAAAAGTATTTGTAAACATTCAAGGACTCAGAAACAGACCTTCTCTAGAGTTAAGATTTGTTCAAAGATTATTTACTACAAAATGACAATTTTGATCTAAGAAAACAATCACACAAAATATAGTTTAAATAATGGTATGTAAAGTATCCAGGATAATTTATAGGTAAGTTAAATAAAATACATGTGATGCCATCAAACCTTCAACTTTTTCTTAAGTTCAGGTTGCAGTTTGCCTCTCTACCCCACCCCCGAACAGTTTTATGTGGTGTGTAGACATCGCGCCATTAAATCCAGTAATAAGTCACTGTCAGATATCTTGCATACATGCTAGCACTTAAATCAGCATCTCTCTATCCTGGATCCCCCAGGTGATATGGAGGTGATCCTGGCCTGAATAAGGTTTGATGCCTGAGGTGGGCTGAGAATGGCTTCAAAGATATGTTCACATCTTAATTCTGGAAGCCTGTAAATATGACCTCATTTGGAAATAGGGTCTGCACAGATATGCCTAAGTTAAGGATCTCCAGGTAAGACAAGTCTTCACAAGCATCTTTATAAGGGAGAGACAGACACAGAGGAGAAGGTGATGTGAAGATGGAGGCAGAGACGGAAGTGATAAGGAAGGCTGAGGAGGCGCAGCAATGTTGGCAACACCGGAAGCTGGACGTGGTGAACAGGGAACTCCCTTAGAGCCTCTGGAGGCCCTGCTGGCACATGAATCTCAGACCTGGCCTCCAGCACTCTGAGAGGAAAATTTTTGTTAACTCACCAAGTGTGTAGTAATTTGTCATCGCAGCCACAGGAGACGAATACAACACCCTTTAACTGACACCACACATAAATACACACTCTCTACAGAACTGTTACTCCCCGTCTCCGGCTTTGTTATGTCTGTACTTGGCTATGTTACTACCCATATCTGGCTATGTTACTCCCCCCCATCTCTGGCTATGTTACTTCTCATATCGAGCCATGTTATTCCAACCATCTCTGGCTATGTTACTCCCCTATATGTGGCTATGTTACTCCCCATATCTGACTGTGTTACTCCTCCCATATTTGGCTAAGTTACTCACCACCAATGGCTATGTTACTCCCCTGATATCTGGCTATGTTACTGCCCCCATATGTGGTTATGTTACTGTCTCCATATCTGGCTATGTTACTCCCCATCTCTGACTATGTTACTACCTCTGAATTTGGCTATGTTACTCCCGTCATATCTGAGTATGTTACTCATCATCTCTGGCTGTTAGTCCTCCACATGTGTCAATGTTCCCCCATATCTGGTTATGTTACTACTCCATATGTGGCTATGTCACTTTCCCTTTCTATGGCTATATTACACCCCTCATATATGGCTATGTTACTTCCATCATATATGGCTATGTTACTCCCTAATATGAGGTTATCACTCTCCCCCTATCTGGCTAAGTTACTCCCCATCTCTGGTTATGTTACTCCCCCATATGTGGCTATGTTAGTCTCACCATATCTGACTATGTTACTCCCCCCATATGTGGCTATGTTACCCTCCCCATAACTTGCTATGTTACTCCTTTTCTATCTGGCTATGTTAGTCTCACCGTATCCAGTTATGATACTCCCCATATGTGGCTATGTTACTCTCCCCATAATTGGCTATGTTACTCCCCTCCTATCTGGCTATGTTACTTTCCTAATATGTGGCTATGTTACTCCCCCATATGAGGCTATAACACTCTCCACATATCTAGCTAAGTTACTCAGCATCTCTGGCTATGTTACTCCCCAATATGTGGCTGTGTTACTCTCCCCAATTTTGGCTATGTTACTCCCCTCACACATGGCTATGTTACTCTCCCCATATATGGTTATGTTACTCTCCCCATAACTGGCTATGTTAATCCACCATTTGTGGCTATGTTACTCTCTGTATCTGGCTATGTCACTCCCCTCATATGTGGCTATGTTGCTTCCTTCATAGATGGCTATGTTACTCTCCCCATGTCTGTCTATGTTTCTCCCCTCATATATGGCTATATTACTCTCCCCATATGTGGCTACGTTACCCTCCTCATATCTGGCTATGTTACTCCACCATTTGTGGCTATATTATTCTCCCTGTATCTGGCTATGTTACTCCCCTCATATCTGGCTATGTTGCTCCCTTCATAGATGGCTATGTTACTCTCCCCATATCTGGCTATGTTACTCCCCCATATGAGGCTATCTCACTTTCCCCATATTTGGCTAAGTTAATCCCCATCTCTGGCTATGTTACTCTCCCAAATGTGGCTATGTTAGTCTCACCATATCCAGCTATGTTACTCCCTCATATGTGGCTATCTTACTCTCTTCATAACTGGCTATGTTACTCCCTCATATGTGGCTGTTACTACCCCACATGAGGCGATGACAATCTCCACATCTCTGGTTATGTTACTCCCCCTTATGTAGCTATGTTAGTCTCCCCAGATGTGGCTAGGTTACTCCCCCATATGAGGCTATGTCACTCTCACCAAATTTGACTAAGTTACTCCACATCTCTGGCTATGTTACTCCCCTCATATCTGGCTATGCTACTCTCCTATATGTGGCTATGTTACTCTTCCCATCCCTGTCTATGTTACTCCCTTCATATATGGCAAAGGTAATTCCACACATGTGGCTATGTTAATCCATATCTGACTATGTTACTCCCCTCATATATGGCTGTGTTACTTCCCCATATGTGGCTATGTTACTCTCCCCATCTCTGGCTATGTTACTCTCCCCATCTCTGGCTATGTTACTCCCCCATATCTAGCTATGTTACTCCCCCCATATCTGGCTATGTTACTCCCCCATATTTGGCTATGTTACTCCACCATGTCTGGCTATGTTACTTTCCATCTCTGGTTATGTCACTCCCTCTATATTTGGCTATGTTATGCCCCCCAGTTCTGATTATGTTACTCCCCCCATATCTGGCTATGTTACTCACCAATATCTGACTATGTTTCTCCACCTATATCTGGCTATGTTATTCCTTATCTCTAGTTATGTTACTCCCCTCATATCTGCATGTAACACCCCCATATGGCTCTGTTACTCTCCCCATATCTGGCTATGTTACTTACCAATCTCTGGATATGTTACTCCCTCTATACTTGAGTCTTTTACTCCCCTCATATCTGGCTATGTTACTCTCCATCCCTAGATATGTTGCTTCTCCTATATCTGGCTATGTTACTGCTCCATATGTTATTATGTTACTCTCCCTATATCTGACTATGTTATTCCCCCCATATCTATGTTACTCCCCACCTCTGAATATGTTACTCCCCTAAATGTTGCTATGTTAGTATCCCCATATCTGGCTATGTTACTCTCCCATATGTGGCTTTGTTACTCCCCCACAGGTGGCTGTGTTACAGTCACCATGTTGGACTATGTTACTCCCCCATATGTGACTATGTTAGTCTCCCAATATCTGGCTATGTTTTTCCCCCATGTAAGGCTATGTTACTTTTCCATACAAGGCTATGTTACTCTTCCCATAGGTGGCTGTGTTAATCTCCACATATGTGGCTATGTTACTCCCCCATAGGTGACTGTGTTACTCTCCCCAGGTCTGGCTATGTTACTCCCCTATATGTGACTATGTTAATATCCCCATATCTGCCTATGTTATTACCCCATACATGGCTATGTTACTACACCATAGGAGGCTATGTTACCCTCCCCATAACTGGCAATGTTACTTCCCTTATATATGGCTATGTTAGTCCCCCATATGAGGCTATATTACTCGCCCCCATCTGGCTATGTAACTGTCCTCACATGTGCCTATGTTACTCCCCCATATGAACCTATGTAACTCTCTCCATATCTAGCTAAGTACTCCCCATCTCTGGCTATGTTACTTCCCCATAGGTGGCTATGTTAGTCTCCCAATATCTGGCTATGTTACTCCCCATTATGTGGCTATGTTACTACCCATCTCTGGTTATGTTACCCC